TGATCTTTTTAGTTTGGAGTTATCAGGGTTCTTTATAATTTTTATCGCCAAATATAGCAACGGATGAAGTTGAATATAGAAGAGCTGTCTGGTTTTGTAGCCTTAGGCTGCAAGTCCGCGCGTGCAGGTTTGAGCCACACGTCATTTAAAGTCGCTCGAATTTCCAGTTTGCTTACTCAGATAGACCAGGTTAAATTAGTAATTATAAAACTACAGGGTAACAGCCATTCTTTGGAAGGAAAAACGATCGAAGTGTGGTTTCATGACTGATGGAGACACCGTTAGTTTGTTTGTTTTTTTGCGGTTTTATCTCGCATCTGATTGGTGGCTACACAATCGACATGTCAAAATCAAATCAAAGTGTTCACGGTTTTTTGACTTTCACAGTAATATTTGTAAGAATCGTAATATTCTCGTAGTAGCTCGTCTGTTTTCATGTTAGACTGAAGATTTCATACAGTTAGATCCAACATGCTGGAAACGGGAAGCATTAAATTACCTTGTGGCTACGAGGAAGACTTCACGAGTCCAGTTGACGATGACTTGCTATGTTTAATTTGTCAACTGCCTTTGCGAGAGCCAGTTCTGACGAGATGTGGTCACAGATTTTGTCGGCAGTGCCTCGAGAAACACATGGCAAGGTTGGTGTTATTATTATTATTATTATTATTATTATTATTATTATTATTATTTGTATGTGTGCATCTTATCCAAACTAATTTACTGAAAACAGGAAAACGGATATACGGCGAAGAGGTGCTGTTAAATGATTGTTCCGCTCGTATTTATTTCTGGCCAGGAACACGAGGAAAAAACAAAAATATCAATTTGTATTAAATAAAGTGGCCTGGTATTCTGAAGTTGCTCCGTATTGTTACAAGTGTGAACTACATGGTAGATTAATTTAGAGGAAAACAGTCTTTTACCTGAATCATTTTGCAATTGTCGCCAGTATGAGCCTGCCTTGAGATTGAATACGCCTTTGTGGAGAGTTGTTTCTATGGAAATCAATTTGCAGCGAGGCCATCGCTCGCTTTATCAACTACCTCAATATTGTAGATGGCGATTATGATTCAGATTTACCAGTTTAATTCAATAAAACATGCTCGCAATATTTCAAAATTATCAAACAAGTGTTTATGACCGAGAACACTGCGGATAGATATGTTAGTTGTGTTTGAGCGCTTTAATTTCAACTTATCTGATCAAATCTGCATTTATGATATTACTCGACAAGTCACAACAGACTTGAATGAAACTCTTCTAGACTGTGTTAATTCTTTTAAAACAAAGTCGTGTTTTTCCTTGATTGAGCGTGTGCTTTTAAAGTCAAAACTTTTAATTTAATATTGCGCCGTGTGTAACCGATTGATTAGCATGTTAAAACACAGGTCCTTGCTTGAATAAACACACCAGGGTAGACAAAAAAAGTTATCAGCCGAAACATTAATTTAAATAAATGACGCATTTGATGTCTGAATCGAAAGAGCAGTGGTGCTTTTAAAGCGGAGTTCTAGTTCTATACATGCGTCACAATCCAGTGATGCACTCTTATGGTGTGAACAAAGTTAACTTTGCTTCGACATTTCCATTGGCAGTGATACAAAACAACTGGTTCATGTTTTTTCATCCGTGCATCATCGAGTTACGATTCACTTGGGAAGCTCATGAAGGAGCCAGAGTTGCCCAGTCTCTCTGCGCTTCGAGAAATTGCACACGACTTCTTTCGGCTCTCCAAACTTGTCGCTGACGTCATCACGC